AATCAACCCTGCAACACCCCACAAAATCCCGCGAAGGTCGGCGTCGTGCTGCAGCGCGCGCTGGCGATATCCCTGGCGTACTGCGCGGGCGCGCTGCTGCTGTGGACGCGGGGCACCTACCTGTTAGTCAGGATGGGTCAGGACCCCCAGATCGCGGCGGCCGCGGGCGCCTTCACCCTGGCGCTGGGGCCGGCGCTGGTGCTCGACGCTGCTGACCAGTGCTGCAGGTGCGGCGTTGCGCGCGCGCATGTGATGCACTGCGCGCACGCGTGCGTGCGCGCGTCCGTGCCTGGCGGCATGCGTGCTTCTCGCCGGGGTGCCAGGGCCGGCGGGCGCTTTGAAGCAGCGCTGCGAGGCGGCGCAGCTGCCTTGAGGGTTGTGCGCCGAGGCGCGTCGCGCGCACGCTTGCGCACAGGCGTGCCGCTGGCGGTAGGCTTTGAGGGTGTGTCTCGCAGGGCTAGGCCAGGGCAATGCGCTGCGCCGCGCCATTGCCTCAGGCTCGCCAGGTGGTGCCCACATGCCTGTCACTGATATGACTGCCACCAAAAAAACCGTCGGGCATGCGACCGTGGCCCATGTAACTGCCCTCCACAGCACTTCCACCCGCTTGACTGCCGCCCATGTGACTGCCGCCCATGTCACTGCCACCCGCGTAACTTCCGCGCAGGCGCTACCTGTCTGCCCAGTCGGTGGTGCAGCCGCTGATGGTGGTGACGCTGCTGGCCACGCTGCTGACGCCCCTTTTCCTGTACGTCTTCGTCTTCCGGTGCGCACCCCTCGCACATACAACGCCGCGGCGGCCCCCGGAGCGGCGTCCCGAGCCCTGATTTTGCGCACGTGCTGTGCCCACCGTCCTCTTGCCGCCGACATGGGGGGTCCGCCCACCTGACTGCCGAAGGACAGGGGTTTGGGGGCGTTTTCATCCCCGCTGCAGCTCCTCTCATCCATGCAGGGCCCTTTCTTGGGAGGGTGGGGGAAACGACCTGCGGGCCGCAGTCGGCGAAACACCAGAGCGCGTGCCCGCCGCGCCGCGCCGCGCCGCGCCGCACCGCTGGCCCCTCCCAACGGCCGATCTGCGCTTGTGTCTTCGCCGGACGCCTCTCGGCTGTCACAAGCCCCGGCCGCCTCCCAAGCCCCCGCAGGCGTCTGCCCTCTCTCTTTTTGGGATGCATGATGCTGTTTTGCTGACAATCGCACCCCCACTAACCCGCACATCTGAACTTTCAGGTACAAGATGGGCCTCCTGGGGGCGGCTGTGGCGTGGGACCTGACGCAGGCTGCCAGCTTAGTCATGATGGCGTCGTACTGCGTCTACCACACCAGGAAGCAGGCGAGGCCCGATGGGGCGCGGATGCGCGGCGCGGGGTCCGGCGCAGTCCCTGGTTGCTCACAGTTATTGGGGGAGGGGAAGGCGCGCCGCGGGTTGCGCGGGCCGGCCGCTGTCGAGGGGGCCGCGCTCCCCAAGCTTTTGGCCCCGAGCGCGGCGCGGCGACGCGTCCCCATAACAAGCGGCCCCCGCGTGGTTGTCAACACACATGCGCGTCTGCGGCACGTGCGCGCGCCCACCCAGCCGCCCAGCAAGTGCACCTGGGGCGGCTGGACGCGAGAGGCGTTTGAGGGCTGGACCCAGTACATCACGATGGCGGTGCCGTCCATGGTCATGATCTGTGAGTGATGTGATGCGATCTGATCTAAATTGGGGGGGACGCCACGCATGCCTGCGGCAGTCGAGCGACCCTACGAGAACGTGGCAACTGACGCGCCGGGCGGCGTCCCACCTGCCGCGGCCGGGGCCTGGCGCCAGGTTCCAACACGTCGGCGGCCCCAGCCCTTGAGTCTCGGGCCTGCGACCATCAACGCATAGTCCACCTGCTTCCTCTCCCTCTCCCACATATCTTCCCGGCCACCAGGCCTGGACTGGTGGACGTTTGAGGTGATTGTGATGCTCTCAGGTCTCCTGCCCAGCCCAGATGTGAGCCGTGGGGAGGGGTTTGGGGGGGGGGGCGGCAGGCCGCCCTGGCCTGCAAGGGAGAGGCGCCTCCGCCCGCGTGGGTCGCTCTTGCCAGGCAGTGCCCTGGATGTTGCCACCCTTCTCTGTGTCACCCAGCCTCGGAGTTTTCAGCAGCCGCGAGTGTCGTGGATTTGGTCGGTCCTCGCTACGGAAGGGCGTGCCAACCACTGTCTGCCCCGCCCGCCATGCGAGACGCGACACTCACCCAACAACCCATGCCGCCCGCGCCCCCGCGGCCGCCCTGCGTCTCCCGTCGTCACCCGCTGTCACCCGCCGTCACCCGGCCGGTCACCAGGTGACGATGTCGATGATGGGCATCACTTTCAACATCCACGCGCTCTGCTTCTTCGCGGCGCACGGCCTCAGCGGCGCGGCCAGCACGCGGATAGGGAACGACCTGGGGGCGGGCCGGCCGCGCATGGCGTGGCTCACGACGCAGGTGATCTGGGGGCCGGGGTGGGGCGGGGTGGGAG